CTTGTCAAAACTAGTGACCGTATACGCTTGGGTGTATTTCTGGGCTCTCTGTTCTGTTCCATTGGTCTATGCGTCTGATTTTATGCCAATACCATAGTGGAGTTTTTTGTTTGTTTTTTGTTTTTGGAGAGAGTCTTGCTCTGTATCCCATGCTAGAGTGCTATGGTGTCAGTCTAGCTCACAGCAACCTCAAACTCCTGGGCTTAAGCGATCCTCCTACCTCAGCCTCCTGGGTAGCGGGGACTACAGATGTGTACCACCACGCCCAGCTAATTTTTTCTGTTTTTAATCGCCTGGCTAATTTTTTTCTATTTTTAGTAGAGAGTGGGTCTCTCTCAGGTGGTCTCAAACTCCTGACCTCAAGCACTCCTCCCACCTCAGCCTCCCAGAGTGCCAGTATTACAGGCATGAGCCACCACACCTGGCCCAATAGTGTTTTGATTACTATAGCTTTATAATATAATTTGAAATCGGGAAGTTTGACGCCTCCAGCTTTGTTTTTCTTTCTCAAGATTGTTTTGGCTATTTGGGGTCTTTTGTAGTTCCATACAAACTTTAGAATCGTTTTTTTCTGTTTCTGTGAAAAATACCGTTGGAATTTTTATAGGGATTGCATTGAATCTGTAAGATCCAATTATATGCTGTCAGTAAGAAACACACTTTAGATTCAGGGATGCACATAGGCTGAAAGTGAGAGATGGAAAAAGGTATTCATGCAAACGGTAACCAGAGGAAAGCAGGAATGGCAATACTTATATCAGACAAAATATATTTTAAGTCAAAAACTCTTAAGAGAAAAAGAAGATCATTACATAATGATAAAAGGGTCAATTCGTCAGGTAGATAAAAATATATCTACAGCCAACATCAGAGCTCCTAAGTATATAAAGCAAATATTGAGAGATCTGAAAGGAGAAAATTGAGAGCAGTACAATAATAGAGTCTTACAGTACCCCACTTTCAATAATAGGTAGAACATCCAGACAGAAAATCAACAAAGAAACATCAGATTTGAACAACACTATAGACCAAATGGGCTTATTCCAAAATATTTCAAGTAATTTGTTGCTGTTGCCAGTGTGGTTGTTTTCTTTTATTCTTTTCTCAAAATAGCATTTAATTATATATGCAAAAGCTGCTGATTTTTGTATAACAGTTTTGCCTCAGCCACCTAACTGAATTCCATTTTTTCATAATAATTTCTAGTTGATCTTGAATTTTTCAAAGTAAATAATCAGATCTTTTGCAAATAATGATAGTTTTACTTCCTCCTTTGCACAGTCTTTTAACCTCTCATTTCTTTCTCTTATTTTGATGTCAGTGTTAAACAGAATTGGAGTGTTGGGAGTGGACCTCTTTGGAGACGTTAAAGAATCATGTATCTTTTCCTGTTTTATTAAGAGTTTATATCAGTGGCCAGGTGCAATGGCTCATGCCTATAATCCCAGCACTTTGGGAGGCCAGGCCAGGAGGATGCTTGAACCCAGGAGTTCAGTGCTGTAATGAGTTACGATCGCACCACTGCACTGCAGCCTGAGTGAGAGAGTGAGATCCCATCTCAAAAAAATAAAAAAAAATGTGCGTGTGTGTGTATGTGTATGTGTGTCTGTGTGTGTGTATTTCAAGAGTAGAAGTTTAATTTAATCTGATGTCTTCTCACCACCTCAGATTCTGGGAATAATCACAGGATTTTTTTTTTCTCTGCATGTCTATTGATATGATATAATAATAAGTTTTCTAATATTATGCCGAACCGTTCTTTCTTTTTGAATAAACTTTACTTGGTTATGGTGTATTACTCTTTTAGTTTTTACTGGCTATACTTGCCAATATTCTATTTAGGATATTTTCGTTGACATCCATAAATGAGAATTTTTCTGTAGGAGTGTGTGTGTGTATGTATTTCTTTGGAGTTTGGGCATTATTTTCCTTAAAACAGATTTGGGAGAATTCTCCCCCTACCACTTCCATCCCATGATTTGAAGAAATTTAAATAGCTTTGGAAATGTCTGTTCCTTCATGGTTTGTGAAAACTTATGCTGACAGTTTTTGTGGGAATTGAGTATGTATTTAATATTTCAGGTGGCACAGAGAATATGAAATAACTTTCATTACTCAGACATAGGATAATTAACTTGGGAAAACTTATTTGGTTTAGTAAAATTTTCCTCCAGTTCAGGAGGTTAAACACACACACATATATATGTGTATGTATACACAAATACCCGTGTAACTAAATGAATTTCTGTACCCGAATTTATGAACACTGTTCTGGGTGTTGGACGTTGCAGGATAATGGATGTGTCGTGAATGTGCTCGTGTGTCTGCAGAGTTAGCCCAGGTGGCTTTCATCAGTCTACTCGGGCAGGCCTCCTGGAGGGAACTCAGGCTGCACTACCCTCAGGAGCAGGTGGGCTTGGGTAGGGCTGTGGACCCGACCCCCTGACTGGCTCACAGAGGATGGCCAGGCAGGTGAAGAAGAGGGGCCGGGTAAGGGAATTTCATATTCTCTGTGCCAGCTGAAATACAGGCTCAGCTCCCACAAAAACCATCAGAATCAGGAGCAGGAGACAGTTTGGGAGTTCAGCTGTTGGTGGTGCACTTCCCATGTGCTAGCCAGGAGATACCAGAATGGAGAAGATGCAGCCCCTGCCCTTCAATTTGCCATGTAGTAGGAGGAACACACCCAACAGGTGAATAGGTCAACGGCAACACCAAAGGGCAGTTCTGGAGTTAAGTACCAAGTAGTGTGGTAATTAGGTAGAACTGAGTGAAGTCAAGGGGAACCTCACAAATGAGCTGACTTTTTTTTATTAGCAGATTCTCACAGGTGCTCTGGAGGCTGACAGAAGGGAAGTGAAAGGTAATTTTCCCTAAGGGAGTAGCCTGGATGTGCCATTACCCCTGAGTGGGTGACAGCACTGAAGTGAAGCCAGGTGTGGGTTCAGTTTGGGGTTGTATCATGGGTGTACATGTCCCCCCGGCCCGCAGCCCACCTCCAGTCCTGACTTGACTAGTTCCATAAGCAGGGGGAACCATGAGGGGGGACTGCCATGGTTATCCTGGTGAAAGGGGACGGAGCGCAGGCAGAGAGGATGGCTCTGAGAGAACGTGCCAGGTCACATAACCCAGGTGTTGTGTGTTGTTGGGGCCCATAGGGACGGAGTTGGTGGCAACAAACTCCGTGGTTCCACGATTTCTGACTGGTTACCCACCCCAGGGGATGTGATTGCCCTTTAGTCTGAGAAGCCCTGGTACGGGTGCATCTTCCTCCTCCTCCTCCTCCTCCTCCTCCTCCCAGACCACAACATCAGAGTGGGCTCTCCCTGTGAGCCTGTGAGAGATGATGTCAGAGTGACTTCACCCAGAAGAAGTTACTCTTCTGTTGTTTATAAACTGTATTTACAATGTTAGGTAACTTTGTAGCTCACCTTTCCATTTTAAAGAGGTATTCATTGTACTTTGTTACAGTGGATTGCAGGGTTTTATTTCTTTAAGTAAGAATTCTCCTTTTAAGAGCATAAACACTTTGTGGGTACACATTGAAAAAATCTGGTATTTAAACTTCAAGGAGCATAAAGTACTTGGTAACAATGGAGATTTGCCTCTCTCTTCATTTGCATATATTATTTTTAATTGCAAAAATGATACATACCTATTGATGAAAAATTCAGGTGTTACAGAAGTGAAGAAATAAGAAATTCCTTGCTCCACCCCACCTCTACTCAGTCCTTTAATGGTGGTTACCTTTACATATTTGGTGTACAGCCTTCCAAACTTATTTTTACTGTATATAAATGTATACACGAGCTAAGTGTTTTACAAAACGGAATTATTATATACACTGTATAGAAATGGAGACCATTTTTTCCCTTTGTATGTTATGGACTTTATTCCATGATAATACATAGAGAGTTCTGGGTTCTTTTTAGGGGTTGCATAATTTTCAGCTATAGATTTACCATTATTTAATTTACCGATTCTTTACCGAGTTCTTAACATATTGAGCTCTGTGCAGTTGTGGAGCTCTTCTAGAAGTGGAATTGCTGGAGCAAAGGTAAATGCACACTTTAACTTTTGAAATGTTTTCAGAGTATTCCCCCAAAGGTCATATACAGCAACTTCCATGCTGCCCGGCGCTCTGTGGGAGCGGCTCTCTCCTCACAGACGCACCACTGTTGGCATCACCATTCTAACCCTCTCTGATGGTGAAAGATGATTTCTCACTGTTTTCATTCTTCTCATTATTAGAGAGGTTTAGCACCTTTTTAAATGCCTAATAGCTATTTGTACTTCTTAATTCATAAGAGCAAAGTAAAAGATAAATTATAAATTTTTTCAGCATGATTTTAGATTCTAACTTTGTTAAATGTCTTTCTATTCAGAAGTTTTTCATTTTTATTTAGTCAAATCTGTCTTTCCTTTGTGCTATGCTTAGGAAGACTTTACCTTTCCTGAGATGGTACTGATTTCTTCTGTATTTTATTATAATCTTTAGTCCACTGGAATTCATTTTTGTGACTAGATATAATAGGGATCCAACTTCATTTTTCTTCTAAATGTAGAGCTGATTGCCCCACCTAATTTTTGAACAGTCTACTTTCTTCTCACTAATATGAAATGCTACCAAATAATAAATTATTCACTGAGATCTTTGGTAAACAGAGACCACAGGAATCACCTTTTTAGTAAATATCAAAATTATTTGATAAAATGCTTACCAAAACTAGAAATGGTTTCTTTAGCATGAAGCTACAAAGAAATATGACTGAAAATACACTAAAAGTGTAAGATTAAAGGAATATTTTTTTGCTTTCAGTTTCTGAGCACAGACTCCTTTATTTGCTTTGTGATACTTTGTAACTCTTGCACACTAGAAGGCAAAATGAAGCAATAAATCAAATAAGATCTTATATGTGGCAAGTAGCTTTATGCACAATTTCCGTAAATCCTTGTTAGTCATTCACTCCTCATGATGTTTTCCATCTCTCTCCTTACAGCCTAAATGGGACGGCCAGGTATTACTGACACAAGTTTGGACGCGTTTGAATCTGTTAGAATGTGACTACTTCGGACTGGAGTTTCAAAGCATGCAGTCCTACTGGGTATGTGCTTTTGATTTGTCTTTAGAAACAGGCTGAGGTGTGTTGTAGAATGTTTACGATGTGCATGGTGCACAGAGAGCCTTTGCGGACCTACTGTAATGATACGAGCAAGATATAATTTGCACATCATTGTTATCAAAGCCATGCTGTTAAAATATTTTATTGTTAGCTATAGGGAGTATGTTTGCCTCTAATCTAAGCCTGAATTTTCATCCTCCCCAAATTCGTTTTGTCCATTAGCACATGTGCCAAGGAAATTCCTTCATAAATTATAAAAGCAACCTCTAATACATCCTGCATGAAAATCATTTTGAAAGTTAATTTTGAGCAAACTTAACTGGTTATGCTTCATTTTACTTAACAGATGTAACCTGAAAAAGTGTGGAGTTTTAATATTTATAGATGGAACTATTTTAAAGAGGCCTGCATCGACCTATTAGTTCAAAAAGCACATCAGTGTTACAAGCTCTGTTTGGCCTTTCAAATACCCTTAGCAGGACAGCCGTATTTACCCAAGTTTCTCTACTCTGATGACACAGCATGCCTCTTACACAGTAGCCTTCCTATCAATTTGTTGTTTACAAATGCAGTATATGCCAAATATTTGTTTGGTGTTAACAATATCCCCCCAGATAATTATTGGTACCCATTCTGTGCATATCAACGGCTACATTCTGTTTGGCTGAATGGAGTGTCCAGTGTAACAGCAGCCTTAACACCTTCCCACGCTTCCTGAAGTGTCTTTCATCAGGATTCTACTTGTGTGTGAGGGGATTAGAGTCAAAATGTTCCTGTCATAAAAACTTCTCTTCATTGTAAACATTTTTGTATTTTATAGCATACTTATTAAATAGAGAAATTATTTAATAGCTTTAATCTTCTGTTAAATCCTCTTTAGATTTGGCTTGAACCTATGAAACCCGTCATCAGGCAAATACGAAGTAAGTCCTTTGCTTAACTCCTTAAACCGCTGCTCATTTAAGGTGCTTTGTCTTAGGATGTTCAAATTCAAGGCATATTCCGATGTTCATTGTCGCCACTGTGTAGCAGTAAAGTTATCACTGACGTCAGATAAACTTGGAAGTCATTTTGCTGTTTAGTTTTAAACTCAGTG